GGCCGGGCTGCAGGAATGCACGGGGTGAGCCCCGTCCAGGGGTGTTGGTCAGCAGCTCCTGTGACCCACCCATGGAGGATGAGCCTCCCCCAGCTCCTGTCCCAAGCAGGAGCTGGCTGTGCAGCTCAGATCCAGGCAGGGCCCCCCGTGCTCTGACCCCTGTGCTGAGGTCCTGGAGCCAGCTGGGCTTATCTGCAGAGGCCCTGGTGGCCAGTCCCGTCCTCTGGCAGCCCCCCTCCCCCTTCTTCTGGAGACCCCTGCAGCCTATTGGGGCCCCAATGGCCACTTCAGTTTGAAGGAGGGTTGTCCCCTTCTGCCACACTTGAAGGCAAGAGTAGAGGTGACTTTTGAATGGATGGGGCCATGAACCCATCCCAACAGCCTGAGCTTGGCTGGCTGGGCTGATTCCCCACTGGGAGTGGGGATGGCGTCCGCTCCCGTTCTGACACCCCATGTGCGGCTCAGGCCACCGGCTGTGCTACCACAGGCCACCACGTGGGCCCGGCCCCTATGTAAGGTGTGCTCCGGTGTGGTGTGGGGCATGGGGCTGTGCTCACAGGTGGGGTGGGGTGGCGATGGCACGTGACTCCTCCAGCTGCAGTTACCTCCTTGGGATTGCTACACCCCATTATTTGGAGTGAGCAGCCAAGGGCCATAGAGAGCATCTCTTTCCCATTTTAGCCTGAAGTCAGTGTCCCCACACGACGCCTAAGCTGGGGACACAGACCCGCCCAGACCAGAGTGAGCCCAAGCGCAGAGAGGCAGTGGGGAGCCTTCCTCTGCTGGACCAAGGAGGGGGAGCCAGGAGGAAGGTCAGGGGCGCCGGAGAGGGGAGGGGTCTGAACGCCAGGAGGGAGGAGACCTACCGCAAAGTAGGAGCGGCCCCCATCTGTCCAGAGCACGACAAGGTCAGCGTTCTCCAGCTCCCCGCGGTCCGACATCCCGAACAGGACCCCAGCCTTGAGCCCCCGCACCAGGAGCTGAAAGTGGACATCCTCCTGGACGTAGCTGACGTTCCATGAGAGCTCCAGGGTCCCCTCGGGGTCCAAGGGGATGTGGTATGGAAAGGGGCTCTCTGGGGGCACTGAGCCCTGCAGAGCGGCCACCAGGATGACCAGAAAGACGGCCACCGCTGTGCCGTACATGGAGGCAGCCTCACGCATGTTGGGGCCGGGAATGCTGGCCCAGCGACACCGACGGCTGGTGGCCTGCATGGCTGGGGAGAGCTTGCAGCCCACCTGGCCATTTATGCCCTGGCCCTGTGGGGGTGGGCCCAGGCTGCACCCGTAATCACATTTGTCTGGTGGGAATTCAATTGTCCTGATGGCCCTGCCACCAACCTGTGCCCCAGGCCAAACGCTTTGCCTCCACAATCCCCTAATTGGCGCTAATGACACATGGACATCATCAGTGGGAATCGAAGCTGACCAGCTGATGTTCTTCTGAATCGTCTCTGAAGAACTGTCCAGGAAGCAGCTCCTCCCTGCGGCCATAGGCCTTGGACACCCTTTGGCTGGGCACTGCTGACCACCTTGCGGGCTGTCTGGTCCCATCCCCACCCTGAACGAGCAGGCGGAGGTGACCTGTGATTGACAAGCCCCTGGCTGCCGTGACCTGGCCCAGTGGGATACAGGTTCCTCCAGTCCTGTGGGGTGGGCCGATTTCAAACTAAAAATAAGCCAGTCCCCAAATAGTCTGTGTTTGGGCGCGCTGTGGGCCGGCTGTGCCCGCTTCTGTCTCCTTGTTTCCCCACCGGCTCCAGCTGGCAACAGGGCGGCTCAGGAGGGGTGCTCCCTGGAGGCAGGTTGGCCTGGGGTGTGGTGCTAGGGAGGCAGCCCAGGTGCATCTCTGAGGCAGATGGAGAGGGGACGCCTGGGGGATGGGCAGACAGCAGGGGACAGCAAAGGAGGGTGAGGGACAGATCTGCTCCCCGTCTCTGGACCTTCCAACCCACGCCTTTCTCTTGCCCAGAGCAAACCTGGCCTGAATTTGCCCCCGTTCAGGCCAGCTGACTCTTTCCCATGCCAACCACAGAGCCCTGCGCAGATCTGCCCAGGCCCCAAGTGTCAGCCTCCCCACTGCCCTGGCTCAGTCCCGTCCCTCTCGAGCAGAATAGATGGGCACATGCTGTCACTCCAGGGAGTTCCGCTTAACCAGCTGCCACCCTGCCCCCTGCACTGGGCTGGGGAGGTGGGTGTCTCCAAAGGGCCATGAGCGCCCCTCCCTCACTTCCTCCCCTCCCGCTTCTCCTCTTTGGAGAAGCAAAGAATCCTTCCTTAGGGACACATTGATATCATGGCCCCTAACTTTAAGTCCTCAAATATTCCCCAGGATGAATCCAGTTGTGCCATGAGCTCATGTTCTTGAACGCACGTCAAATTTAGAGAAAGTTGTAGACTTCCCCTAGGGACACTGTGGGGAACTGTGGGGCACAGGCACGGTGAGGTGGGGCATGGCCTCCTGGGGCAGGCAGGTGCCGTTCTGCACAGGAAGTGGGAGCTCCAGCCCAGCTCACGGTCAGCCCTTTGGCCATCTATCTCATGGGCAGCGAGGCGGCCCTCCTGGGCCCCAGCTGGGCACTCTTGGAGAGGAATTTCTAGCCAGAGCCTCTGCCCGCTTGGAGGGGAGGAAGTTGAGCATCAAGGATCACGGTTCCCTCGGGCTCCCTCCAACCCAGCAAGGCGGAGCACGGGCCTGATACCAGATCAACGGTTGCCGAGCTCAGGAGGGAAGTCTCGTGCAGCGCGGCTCTTAGTAAACAGCAGAGTGCCGCGCACACGTTTATTTTTAACAGGATTCAAAAGCGTTCTTTCTCCAGCTCAGAACCGGGTTGACAGAAATGATTCAGCTGATTTCAGAAGTAACAATTACCAAGTCTCCGTAATTAGCAGGAGGCAGGGACCGGGCCTGCAAGGCTGTGCTTCGTCCTCGCTGGCCTCAGGAGCCTGGTTCTGTGACTGTCCCCATCTGACACACAAGGAGGTGGACCCTAAGAAAAGGGAGCTATGCACCTGGGTCACACGGCCATCAGGGGCAGGGCAAGGCAGTCCTGGTGCCCATGCCCAGGACCCCAAGGCAGTGGCTCTGAGCAGGAGGGGGCTGTGCGCCTCGGCCGCCAAGGTCAGAAGAATTCTGCTGGAGTCAGGAGGAGGGAGGCCAGAAGTGCAGCCTCGGGGAAAAGCAGCCACCCTCCACCTGCACTGCCCTTCCTGCTCCGGGGACCTTGACGAGGAGCAACCTGACCTGGGAGGAAACAGCTCCTGCGGCCTGTCCACATCCCCCACCTGCCTGCCCCAGGGGCCCCTGGTCCTGCCCCAGTGGGGGTGGGGACCTCTCCTCCCCTGCCTCCCCCACCCTGCGGCCGCCCAGCAGCTGCTGCAGTTGGTCAGGAGCAAGTTGCCCTCAAGGGCAGGATGGGTTGGGGATGGGTTGGGGGTGGCACCCAGGGTGTCACTGTCACCATGTCAGGGAGTAAACCCTGCTTGCTGCTGCTCAGTGCCTGACTCCCCTCCGCGGTGCATCGACGGCTGACCTCATTTAGAACCAATTTCAGCGTCTTAATAAGCCCTTGCTGTTCCCTCTGATGCTGCCGGCCTGTGAGCTGTAATCCCCACCGACTGTGCCACGTGAGGCCGGCTGCGGCTGCCTTCCCAACTGTGGGCGGCGAGAACCGCGGTGGAGGGCTGGGTGGGGAGCCGAGCCAGGCAGGCCCGACAGCCCGCTCCCAGCAGCAGCAGCCAGGACGGCATCCCCCACTCACAGGGACCCCCCCCCCCAAGGACAAAGAGACACCAGAGCTTAGGGCAGCGCCTCTCCCTCAGGACTGGCTGTGTCCCTTTGTCCTGTGCACGGTGGCCAGTGGCCATGCTGTGAAGGAAACAGGAAACATGTCCAAGGGGGGCTGCCAGGATGAGGCGGTGCCCCTCACAAATGCTGGTGGCCTGAGGTATGGACACACAGAACGTCCCAACGCCAGAGACTTAGGGGCCAGGGCACCCACTGGGCATAGTGGGCTTGGCAGGAGGGCCTGGGCCAGGGATGTGACCAGTAGCACCTGGAGGGAAAGGGGACACTCACCCAGAGGGACTGGTGTTGTGGCCACTCCATGGGAACCAGCCTCTGCAGTTTCAGAGCCCACGGGGGGACCCAGGACCCCTGGGCCCTGGGGTCAGGGCGCCAGGCTGCCCTCCTGCCTGCAAGACCTCGACTCTGCTGTCCATGTGTGGGAGGCTGGAGCCCAGCATGTCCTCTGGCTTGGCCTTGTCTGTGTTTGAGGGCTGTGGGGGGACCACAGGGCAGGTGGACCTGAAGCCTGCACAGCTGCCCCCACAGCTCCTCTGACAGGTGGCCGGGAGGCGGCTGTGGGAACACTGGCGCACAGGCCTGCGGGCCGGGGGGGCGCAGCAGAGCTGCGGGGCCTGCTCCCTGTGGTTCTCCATCAGGATGTCAGCGGCCCCTCTCCTGGGCTTGGGCGGCTGGGGAGAGGGGCGTGACGGCCTGTTCGGAGCCGCCACACTGCCAGGACGGGGAGAGGGGCTCGGGCCAGAGCTTCAAGCCACCCTCCACAGAGAGCAGCCAAGAGCACGGGGCGGAGGGACAAGCAGAGCCCTGGGCCATGACGCCTCACCTGGCGTCCCCGCGGGGTGAGCCTCACTTCTCTGGTCTGCAGTTGGCAGTTTTCACCACTGTGACCGGAAGATGAGACAAGAACAATTTTAGAGGAGGGAAACTTTACTTGGGCTCGCGGTTCCAGAGGTTCAGCCCGTGGTGGGCCGACTCCATGCTCTGGGCCCAGATGAGGTGGACATCAGGGCGGAAGGGTGTGGTGGGGGAAAGAAGCTCAGGACGTGGGCCCAGGAAGCGGAGGGAGCTCCACTTGCCAGGGGAAGACATGCACCCCCAGGCAGGCCTCCTCCAGCACAGCCACCTGCCCTGTCACTTCCCAGGGAGTCCCCACCAGGGGGCTGGTGCCCGGGGTCAAGGCTCTCACCTTGCATCGTCTCCACCTGAGCCCTTGGGGGACACCTCCCATCCAGACCGCGACGTCTACGGAACAGGATCCTGCCAGCAGCTGCTGTTGACCAGGTGAGGCAGACAGGGGCCCGGGGTGGGGGCCTGGTGCTGCCAGCGCCACTCCCAGCACCCAAGGCTGCCTCCCAGCCCCCACCAGCCTCTGTCAGCTCAGGCCACCTCTTCATGGCTGGAAGCTGTGAGGTGACCTTCAGGGCAGCACCGAGCCTGTCCTCCCGAGGGCACCTCTGTCACTGTCACACTGCCAAACAGGGCAGGGGGCTGGAGGGCACCAGGGGCACCGGTTACGATTGGCCTCCTCTGCTGGGTCCCCAGTGCACAGCGAGGCAGACAGGCGATGTCTCAGAGGTGACGCACAGCACAACGGGGGCTTTGCGGATGTGATTGACCGAGGACTGGATGTGGGACGAGATCCTGGCTTATCCCAGCAACCAGGTGAACCAAAGGATCCCTGAAAGACGGAGGTGGGTGGGCCAGAGTCAGAGGAGGGCACGTGAGGGTGGAAGACAGAGGTCAGAGGAGAGGGGACGCGCTGGCCTGGAGCAGGGGCCCAGGCCTCCCATGGGGCAGCCCTGCAGTGCCAGCCTGCTGCCCGGAGCACAGCCCAGCCCAGCCCAGGGGTGCAGGGGGTCTTGAGGCAGGCCGGGAGAGGCACGTGGGGAGGATTAACTGGGGGCCATGCTCCCAGCCCCCCACCCACCCCTCAGGTCCAGCATGGCCACCTGCTCTTGCCGGGAGAGGCACGTGGGGAGGATTAACTGGGGGCCAGTGCTCCCAGCCCCCCCCCCACCCCTCAGGTCCAGCATGGCCACCTGCTCTTCCCAGGACAGCAATGTGTGTTCTGGGTGTCTTCATGCACTGACCAACCAAGTCCCCACAGAGACCCCATGCATCGCCACATCCCAAACAAGAACAGGGCGACCCTTAGCATCCGCCTGCAGGGGAGCGGATGGTGGCCGTGACCCCAGAACACCATCGAGCGGCAGTGGGAAGCTGTTCCTGCACCAATGCGTGCGGAGGAGGAGGAGGGGGCAGCAAGGCCTCCGGAGCCCGTGGCCAGTTCCCTGCAGGACCTTCTAGCTCTGGTCACAGCCTGGGAGCAAGTGGGCAGGGGTCATGTGAACTGCTGGCCCACAGTGCAAATCCAATGAGGGCCCAGCTCAGGGCTCCGGGCTGCACCACCCCGCCCAGCCCAGCAAGAGGATGTGGTCAGCTGAGCTTCACCTGGCCCTGGGCATGAGGCCTGGTACCACCCAGCCCAGATCCCCTGACCTGCCCGCAGCTTAAGCTAAGAAAGGAGGATTCGGTGACCAGGTCTGAGAGGTCTCCTGAGCCACCCTCCCACGGGGTCTGGGTCGACCAGATTTGGAAACCTGATCGCAGAGACGCTGAAGGGCAGTGCCGGCAGCCTCGGCACCCTGGGGACAGCGAGCTATCAGAGGTCCCACGGCAGGGCAGAGCCTCAGCCTTGGCCTGGGGTGACAGAGGCAGGGGCGAGCCCCGCCACCTCTCCCCTGTGCCCTGGTCTTACAGGGCAGGGACACACAGGCTGGTGCTGCCTCTCAGGGTCCTTCCCTCCGTTTGGTTTTAGGTTTTCTGTTCCTTTGTTTCTCAGGTTGAGCTTGGAGTGTGATAAGCAGCCTCTTAACTTTAAACCCACGTTCACCAGGTGCGGCCCTCGGAGAGCTTCCATCTTGCCAACTCGTCCTCTCTCAGACCCTGGCAACCTCAGTCTCTGTGATCTCAGTAACTCCAGGGACTTCGTAGGGGTGGGTCCTGTGGGACTCGTCCTCTTATGACCAGCTTGTTCCCTGGGTAGGATGTCTATGGTGGCAGATGGCAGGACCTCCTTCCTGTTGGAGGCTGACACCCTGGGTGTGGTGGACCACCACCTGGGACAGGCACCTTGGCCATGGTGAATGTGAACGGGGAGCATTGCTGCGGACGGGGCTGTGCACATACCTCTGTGAATTCCCGCTTTCCGTTCTGGGCGGCTGGATCGCATGGTCACGCTGCTCTTGACCTTTGGGGGCCGTGGCTCCTTCTGGCGTGGCCCGCTGTGCAGGCTGTGCCTGCCCTTTGCACTTCGTTTGGGGTGCCACAAAGGCCTGTCACGTGGGGCCTCCCTTCAGCAGCTCTCCAGCCCCCAGTGGAGCAGGCCGCCCATCCACCACGAGAGCTCCTGTGACGGCTTGCTCGGGGTCACAGTGCTAGTGAGCAGGGTGCAGCTCCTGTCCCGCATGCCCACCCCATGCCCGTCCCTGTGTGTCTCTGGAATGGATTCCTGGAAGAGGAGCCATGGGTCAGAGGCAGTCCCAGTCTGGAGGAGAATGCCCAGTCACCGCTTCCTGCCACCAGCCAAAGACACGGCTGTCTCCAGGGAACAGACAGGTAAGTAGGTTTCACCTCACGGATGGGCAAATGAGCCCAAGACAGGCCGCTTCCCTCCAGCGACAATCAAATGCGTCACATCCATAAACTCAAATCCAATAAGGCCCACGGAGGCTCGCCATCTGCTTCCAGAGATGCACTGTGGGAGCGAGCTGGCCTCCCTGCCCGGGGGCCTCTGACATTCACGGGGAGAGGGGACGGCCACCTGCACAGCCTGATCCAATTTCCCCACTGCTGATCGAGTTATGCGGAGGCCGCCCCAGGCATCGAGCAAAGGGCAGTCAGGACCAGGAGCCCAGGACAACTGCCCGGGCGGGGGCAGCAAGAGCCGAGGGCTGAAGAGGGGACAGGACGTCTTCAGGGCCAGCCTGTGCGGTTGTCCTGGGAGCGTGGGTCAGTGTCGGCAGTCCCAGTGTGGGGGCGCGGCGGAGGCCACGGTGGGTCCCCTCTAAGCACCCTTCCAGGGGCCTGGAGGTGTCCTGGGCCCCCGGGGGGTGTCCTTTCAGGGTGTGTTGGATAGCATCTGGGGGCTTCAGTCAGGGGACAAACTGAGCATCCTTTCCCCAAATCCTACAGCGTCAGAAAATGTTTCTAAAGAAAAAAAATCCATAATGATATTGATTTTTAAAAGTGAAAAAGAGTCTTTTCAACGAATCAGATTTCTTTCCACATGAATCACACCAAAAGATGCAAAGAAGCAAAATCAGAGGAAACCACGTCCTGGAAGATGTGCAGACCACTGCAGATTCTGGACATGTGGGGCTGGACAGGTCAGGGTGACTCTGACCACTGACCAGGGGCTCCTTCCACACAACACACGCAGCAGAGAACCCCTGACCCCAAGCTGAGCAGAGTGTGGTCACCACGGCAGGCACCGGCCCAGCAGCTACTGACCCCCCGTGAGCAGCTCGACCCTGGCTGCGTGCCCGGCCCCTCTTCTGCAGCCGCGCTGTCCGAGATGCAGTGGTGTGGACCCCTGAGTGTGTCCTTCTACAGACACACCATGACGAAGCTGGATGATGAATCAGGGGCAGGAAACATAACGACCAAGGACAAGACAGAAGGATCACACCAACTTGCCGTCATAGACCTCAACTGAGGAATGGTCTACTTCTGGAAACTTCCATTTAATATTTTTGGCCTCTAGTTGACCTCGAGTGACTAAAACCACAGAAAGTGAAACCTCAAATAAGGGGGAAGGACTGTCCCTTCCCGTCCTCCATCAGAGGCGTGGAAGCAGCACAGTAGTGAATAGTCAGGTGGACGGATGGACAGATGGACAGGGGACTCAAGTGAAAAGTGGGGCACTCTGCCCTGCCCGCACAACCAACCGCACAGGCAGGAGAGCCCCGGAGGAGGGGCGGCCCCCAGATGCCGCAGGAATCAGCATCGACTGCATCAACAACAGGGGACTCTAAAATAAGTATAATTGCTATCCTTGGAGAGATAAGCGGTTATCTTATTCATGAAGCAAGAAAGGGCTTTTGTATCAAAGAGCTAATGAGAGGTCATGGAGATTTAAAATAGACGGCTGAACGCAGAAGGAGACATTGAGGAGCAAATTAGAGGGCAGGAGACCAGGCAGGTGCTGCGCGAGGAGCAGAGCACAGCACTGAGGGCAGAGGGGGAGGGCAGGGTCCAGCAGCCCCACCCAGCACAGGCCGTCCCGAGGGTGGTGGGGGGGATCGCAGCCGGGCCTCCCCAGGCCGACCACCAGCACTGGTTTCAGAGCCCTGAAGCCACCAGGTGCCCAGCAAGTGAGGGCGGTCCAGCAAATCTCTGGGTGGCCCCTGCCCAGCCAGCCTGAAACCAGAGAGGGAGCAGGAGAGGGGGCCCCAGAGCCCAGGTGGGAGAGCGGGGAGAGGTCCGCGTGGGGTTGCACACTAGACCCCGTCAGCTTCTTGGCAGCTCTGGTGACAGGAGACTCCTCCAAGCAGACGTCTGGAGGATGTCACGGACTCTGCTGTCCCAGACCCAGCACTCCAGCTGGAGGACAAGGGAGAAACAGTCCCCACACAGGGGCTCGGGGAGGTTGCAGCACCCTCCTTTCTGAAAGAATGACTGGAGGGTGCGTTCTAGGGAAACGGAGGGGAATACGGGGGCGGAAGAGCAAGGGGAACCTGAATACCCAGTTAAACAGGGTGAAGCCCGGGTCATCTGTGGCCATCAGGAACACAATCGGTTGCCTTCTTTGTTTTGTAAAATATTTCAAACATAAGAAAAATACAGAGAAAGATATGACAAGTATTGGCTTGTTCACCAGATCTCCCATGTGTCTATTTTGCCATAGTTGCCTTATAAAAAATATAGATCCCAGCAGGGCACAGTGGCACCTGCCTGTAAACCCAGCCGCTCAGGAGGAAGGGGCAGTTCGAGGTCAGCCTCCGCAACTCAGTGAGGCCCTAAGCAACGTAGCAAGACCCTGCCCCAAAATAAAAAATCAAAAGCGCTGGGGATGTGGCTCAGTGATTAAGCACCCCTGGGTCCGATCCTCAGTACAAAAAAAAATCGTATATATATATCTCACAGATTCAGCTAAGGCCTCTTTGTACTTCTCAAATAGAATCAATTTTTCATTATCTCTAATTGGGTTATGGTAATACGTACAAAAGCATTGATTTTTAAAAACGTTTATTTCATATCTGGCCAACTTGCTAAGTCATAAGTGTCCTAATCAATCTGAGTTCACTCAGATTCACTGGGTGGAACTTTCCCCTGTCCGCACGTCCCCAGCACGGTCTCCTGGGTTGGATATCCGTGTCTTTCACTTCCGCTCTCTCTGGGGTTCCTGGCCCCCGTGTCCCGGGAGAAGGCTCATCCCAGCTTGCTCCCGTCAGCAGGTCCGGCTGGCCTGGTGCAGAAGGCCTGCTGCAGAGGCTGCTGGGCGCCCTGAGGATGCTGAGTCTCTCTCCTGGTCTTGCCTTCCCTGGGTGCCGCCTGGGCTTAGCTGCTTTCTCAGCACCTATTAAGTGGCTCGGAAGGTTCCCCCATCTGCTAATGCTCATCCCTGGTTCCCAAGCTTTTTGGCTTCAGGACTCCTCCATCTTTCTAAAAATTATTGAAGGTCTTAAAGAATTTGTATAAAGGATAAGTTTGACTGAGAGAGGAAGAGAAAACCTAAATCAAAATCACCTTCCATGCAGGGAAGACGTTGCCGTACAGGGAAGGTGCTGTATTGATTCTATGCACACATTCCGCACACTTGAGCTCCTCTGAAATGCTACATTTTGCAGTCAAGGGCAGATCATGGCTTACCTGGCAAATTTTCTTCTCTTCCTAGTAGTAAGTACAGTAATGATTTTTTTCTTAAAAGAGATAATGCCTAACTTAATATGTGCTTTGTATATCTTTAGCTCTTTTATTTATTATACGAACTCTGTAAGAAATATTAGTGTACCATTACCCTACTTGACAGGTAAAGAAGCTGAGGCACAGAGAAGTCAAGCCACGTGTCCAAGATCACACAGCTAGGGAATGGAAGAGCTGGAATTTGAACCCAGCTGAACTCAGATCTGAGTTTCTGCCACCAGGCTCTGCCTCTCATGGGAACAGATGCATCCCAACAGATCTAGAATTTCAATCTTAAAGTCTCCAAAGGATTAAAATCACCAACCTCACAAATTGATTGTAAAGATCATTCAGTTGAGAACTCGGGGAAGATCTGATGGAAAGATAGAAGAATCTGCACCTGAGGATGCCGAACCTCTAGATGGAGCTGAAATTGTTGCTTCTGTCACATGTCAGTGGGGGCACAGGCAGGTAGACCAACAGCACAGGGTCCAGAAACAGCCCCTGCATGTGTGGACCGTGACTGACCCACTGAACACATTTCTGCTTCGCCAGGGAGGGAGGTGGCTGGCCATTCCCACGTCCAGACAAATGAAACCGAGACGACTAACCCTCTAACTTGCCCTGTACCCCCCAGTGCCAGGTGGCTTCAAGACTAACTGGAAGTCACAATCGCACAAATAAACAGCAGGTGGAGACAGCCGCTGTGGAAGCCCGGGAGGCCTCCTGGGGAACAGGGAGAGAGCCCCTCCGGTCAGTTGGGGTGGCCCGGGACCCCGTTTCACCGCAGGCAGGAGAGAGCAAAGCCTTGGGCTGAGCAGGGAGCTGTGGGCACGAAGGGGGCAGCAGGAACGTGTCGATGGCCTGTGGCCTGTGCAGCGGGAGGGGTGGGTGAGTGGATTCGTGGCTCGTGGCACTATTGGCAGGTGGTGGAATGGTGGGGGGTGGGCCCAGTGGAGGAAGCTGTCCTGGGGGTGCTCTGGAAGGGCATTTCTTGCCCCCCACCTGTCCTTGTCCCCTCTGCTTCCCCGCCTCCAGGAGGTGAGCAGCCTTCCTCTGCCGGCCTCTGCCCCGTGCTCACCTCGCCCCGTGTGGGCAGCAAAGGAGCTGGCGGAGGGGCACTGAAGTCTCTGAAACCTGAGCCAAGACAAGCCTTTGCCTCTTCAGGTGGTTTTCTTCAGGTGTTTTGTCACAGTGCGGAAGAGCTGCCTCACACAGAGCCCCGAAGCCGGCCTCCAAGAAAGGCACAGCGTGGGCGTGGCCACCTGTCCCCAGAGGCCCTGGGCGAGTCCACTTTGGTGCTGCTTGTTTAGCATGGATGTGACCCTAACTTCTCATCACAGCAAAATGAAGCAAAAGCAAACAAAGGGAGGGGGCGGGGCAGGAAAGCTGCTGTGCCGAGTGGGAGGCCATCTCACAACAAGGACAGGGCCTGGGTCCCTTCCCCTGTGGGAGCCTCAAGCCCCAGAGGGCGGGAAGCAGGATGGGGAGCCGCTCCCCCCATGATGAGGCTGACCCCTCTAAGTGCTGGCTGTTTCTAGGGTGACACTGGCCAGCAGTGGAGGGGTGGGTCTTCCTGCTGTCTCTCCCGCCCTGCCACCTGCTGAGGTAGAGACACTGGCCTGGGCAGCCGGCAGTTGCAGTGACGGCCGCTGCAGCATCCCCCCATCGCTGCAGCTAATGCCTCCAGATGTTTCCAGGGCAGCCTCTGCACCCTGCTCCCCACCCCCAGCCTCCTCCAG